AGTCACCGTTGGCGTGGACAGAAACACATTTGGGTTTGACAAGTCAAATCATATGTACGGTGTGTTGTGTACGTGAGTGCATTCAAGAACTGATATGCTGACAAGGAGGGCTGCTGGGGAGGGAAGGAATAGAGGATGGGCAGCAACAAAAGAAAGCGGGCCTGCAGGTATGTGGTAGAATTGCCATGTCCACCCCCTATTTTGTGGGCCAAGAGCCCTTGAGAGCCGCGTAGATATGCTTTCAAAAGAAGATCAAAATACATATGTACCTCTCCTTCCGGTCGGCCATGCTCACCAGGCTCACCTGCGGCGCGAGATGGAGCTCGAGTTTGAGAGGCGCCACACCGGCCTGCTGGCAAAGCTGGCGGCGCTGGAGGAGCGCAAGGGCGCACGCGCAAGCGGCGCGGGAGCTTAGCCAATAGGCGGGAAAGAAGGGCAGCGACAATGATGCCAGGGCTCCGGCAATTCCTTTATCCGACTCGGGCTGTCACACTGGCGGTGGTTTTTGTTTCAGGGTTGCCGGTGAAACTGAGCTGACCTGCTAGCCCCCAAGTAAACCTGTTTTTCTGTGGGCGCCGTTGATGTGCATGTGCCGTGACGGGACGTCTCAACGCTCAACACGGCAGCGTCAGCTGCTTGTTTTCGCAACGTCAAAGCAAAACAGGATTAGCGAGACGAGCATTGACTTCAAGGACAAGAGCAGACGGATGAACGCGACAAACGACGACCAAGGTGTATACAGCAGTTTGACATATTTTGGCCAACTGATTTGAGGTAGAGTGTTGCCCAGAGCAGTAAGCGCGCGCTGGTCGTGAGCATGACCAGTCCCGGCTTCTGCATCCTAGGGGCCATGTCCCACTTGCTTCCTGGTCCAGCCAAAGTCTGTGGTGATCTTGTGGCCACACCGCCAGCAGATGACAGAATTCGGCCCGGCATGGACTAGTGTTTTGCCGCACCTACAAAACCGCGCAGCAACACCCCACCCTAACATTGTAGATCTCAACAGCTGGCTGTCGACCCAGCATCTTTGTCGCAAAATTTGGTATGCAAGCACCCCCCATTCATGGTAGCCGATGGCAGCCCAACAGGCACACAGGATAGGGCGTCCTGCTGTCGCATGCAACATGCTCTTGTGCTGGGCCTGCTACATGGGAACCCTTGCGCCCCTCCTGGGCTGAGCCTGCACACCCAGACACACGCCTTTCCTCAGCATAGTCGCCATATTGATGGGCTGCCAAAACTTTGGTGTATGATCCTGTCTGCTGGCTGGGGCTTCCTCAACACGCGGGGTGGCTGGGGGCATTCAGGGAGCACAGTACCAGCATTTGGCTCCATGGATAGCATGGGCAAAGTCCCGGGTTTGAGCACTCCAGGCAGTCTTAGCTTACAGTGGCTGCGAGCTAGCAATCTGGTTACTCATGTGGTGGGCGTGCAACGCAGCGCCGCAACCAAAGAAAGGTGTAAGATTTCAGCGCGTAGGTGTGGGTTTTGCTCCATACAACAGGGTTACCCACAGCTGTCCAAAGGGTTTGCACGCTGCCAAATGTTGGTGCTCGTCCTTGAACTGCGCAGCTCAGGATCGCGCCCAGGCTGCCGACGACCGCCAGCGGACGTCAGCCGGCTGCTGGCGCAGCCGCCGGCCGTGCCAGGTGGCGCGGGCAGCTCGGGGCGTGCCTGGCCAGGTGTCTAGGCGGTGGGGACCTCCAGCTTCTTCACCTGCGCGGGAGCAGGGCAGGGGTTGGAACGGGGAGCGTTGAAAATGGATTGCGATGGGAAGCGTCGGCATCACAACGGATCGAATGGAACGCGGCGACTGCAGCTACAGAGCGGCTCGAGCGAGTGGGTTCTTTGGGCCCGGCCGGCACGTGAGGTTGGAGGGTTCGGGCATCAGCGCTGGGGCAGGGTGCTGGGGAATGGGGAGGGGCGCAGGCTGCCCACCGTCTCCCAGGTGAAGTCGGGGTCGTCGCGGCCGAAGTGGCCGTAGGCGGCCGTCTTCTGGAAGCGCTTGTTGCCGCCGCGCATGAGGTCCAGGTTCTTGGCGATCATCCCTGGGGGGGGGGGGGCGAAATTTGATGCAGGTGCAAGGTGGGGCGGAAGGAGTTGGCAGGGGTTGACCGCATTCAAGCAAAGGGGGCAAAGGGGGACAAGTCTGGCCGGATCCCAGGACACAGCGCACTGCTAGCTGCGGAGCGTCGCCCCAACCCACACCCACCCCAACCCCGGAAGTCCCGGGCCGCCCAGCCCCGGCCCGCGAGCGTGCCGCTCCTTTTCATCAGAGCACCCACCGGGCCTGAAGTCGAAGGCCTTCTTGATGGCCGCGAGGATGTCCTTGTCGGCCACCTTGCCGGTGCCGTAGGTGTCCACAAACACGGAGAGGGGCTCCGCCACGCCGATGGAGTAGGAGACCTGGACCAGGCAGCGGCGCGCGAGGCCGGCGGCGACCACGCTCTTGGCTGCCTGGCGGGCGATGTAGGCGCCCGAGCTGCGGGGTGGGCGTGGAGGGTCGGAGGGGGGTGATTGTGGGTGGAGGGTGTGCGATGGGGGAAAGCAGGGTAGACCACCTGGATGACGCTCGCCAGTGTGATGCAAGGGTTTATCAGGGAGATACCAAGGCGGACAGTCACGTGCCAGGGCCCACCGCCCAGGTCGTGCCTATGCATGCAGGGCGGCTGACGCCGGGGCCAGGTGCAAACAAGCGGCTTCCGCTCACATGCCCGGCCCGTCGCTAAACAGTCACACAAGCCCATGTCCCATCCCGCCCCGCCCCCTGCCCAACCTACCGGTCCACCTTGGTGGGGTCCTTGCCGCTGAACGCGCCGCCGCCGTGCGCGCCCCAGCCGCCGTAGGTGTCGATGATGACTGAAAAACGCCAACAAAGAGGCATGTCAAGGGGGGCAAATGTGAGGAGCAGCGCAGGTTGGCAGGCGCCGTCGACCCCCTCACACCCTGCGATCCGCGCACAGCACATCACAACACCAGCCCCTGCCCGCCGCCCGCGCCCCGCCCTGACAGCTCGTGCTCACTCTTGCGGCCGGTGAGGCCGGCGTCGCCGTGGGGGCCGCCGATGACGAAGCGGCCGCTGGGGTTGAGGTGGAAGATGGTCTTGTCGTCGAGGTACTTCTCGGGGACCACGGGCTTGATGACGTGCTCCAGCAGGTCCTTGCGGATCTGCTCGTTAGTCACGTCTGGGGGGGGAGGTAGGTAGGTTTGGGGTGTGCATGTCAGAGGGAGAGAGAGAGAGAGAAAGAGAGAGAGAGAGAGAGTGTGTGTGTGTGTGTGGGGGGGGGAG